TATATATATATATAATTAAGTGTACTGTAAGAGAATTGCCATTCAAAATAATAAAAAAAACTAATTCATAGTTTAATAAAAAATTAGCTTAATTGTCAAAATATTCTCACAACAAAAATATCTTAATGGACCTCAAATATGCAATATTTGTATGTAAAGTTTGATATGTACCTGACCATGCTTTTAAGATTTTCCCCATTATTTTTACTCTATATAGTTGAAGTCAGTGCGATCTTTGCTTGAACTTATCTTTGCTTTGTCATTAACTGTCCATATGAATCTGTCTTGCAGTTGGATTCGATGACTATGGTTATATATATACAGTATATGCATATATCTGTGTTTTGTACAAAGTTTTTGTCAAAAGTTTGGAATATAAGGTCAAAAACGCATGTAAAGTAAACCAAACGATATCATTAGAAAAAGTGGCTTCAGATTAGGTATAAAATGTCAAATTGTGCCATATGAAATCCTTATGCCAGAAGATTTGATTTGACAACACTACCTGTCCTATATAAATATATCCAATGTATGTACTGAACAAAATGTAACTTCTCAAACTCTCTAGACATTTATCATCCACATCTGAATGGGTGGTTAAATACGTCACCAGCCCAGAAATATTACTGTAACATTTTAAAAGAGAAAAAATTGACCCTTATGACTGGTTTTGTGGTCCAGGGTCACAAATCTGAATGACTGGCCTGACTGGGACAGCAGAAAAATCTTTATTGTTGAGCCCTGAAATGTGTGTCAATTGGATTCACACTTGTGTAACTCAATTAAAATGGGTCACACAGTTTAAATCTTTAACACACTGTGATGGAACATGTATTATACAATCAATGCTGTATATTAAATCACTTAACGCAATATGAATCTCTATTACATTCAGACTTATCAGCACCAACAGGTCAGCTGGTGTAACTAGTTCCAGATGCTGATTTACTTTTTTTTTTCTTAAGATACTGAATTATTATTACTAAGATTATATGTTTTAATAATAATAAATCAAGTTGTTTTTTGATACAGTGCTTTCTGACACTAATCCTCAGGAAATTTCAACACACTATGTATCAATTTTGTTTGCTTCAAACAGCTTCCATTTCAGTGCATGTCGCCACTTGCTGTGTTTGCTATGTGCCAATCCTTCAGAATTGCACATTAGAAATCAGAAAAACCTGCATCACCGTTTGCTTGAACTCACTGTGAGTGTGCTTTGCAGTTTGCTTACCCAATTGTGGGATTAATGTTGGGATCAAAACTATCCTCCACAAACCTCCACACGATACTTGACTTTCCAACCCCTGTATCCTAAGACACAATATCAAAATCAGTAACAAAATACACAAACCTATTAAACTAATTTTAT